AGCAGCTTTTAGGCATCTTCACCATAGACACAGCTATAATCTTTCCCCCCAGTGGGTGTAATCTGACCGCACCCTATTGTGAATACAATTTACATCTCATTAACATTCCACCAGTCGCGTATCGTGAAAAGGTCTATTACCGTGCTTTGCAGGTTGCTTGACCCAATTTTCTTACTTCCTGCTCACGTGACATGTATTATCAGTATGGGGAAAGTCACGTGATTAACAAGTATGCAAGGTCAAGCAACCTGCAAAGCACGGTATACGTACATGGATTGGAAACAGGGCAAGACCGGATGGTCACATGCTCTTTTCGCAGGAAGTGACATCATTACCCACGTGGAAAAATGTGACAGTATTACTTGAAGGCTGAAAGCATTAAGCAAGTACTTTTAAGACTGTTCTGGAAATATTCTCAACACATGATGAGAATTTTAATTTATACTCCAAAGGTGAAGAAAACAAAGGAGAGGAAATATAAAAGAGAGAATTGAAATATACATACCAATAATATTTGAAATTTAATTTTATTAAAAATAATTATGTATTATTAATATCACTGAGGTATTGTTGATGACTTTGTAGAATCCCTTGATGACATGCCACAAACAAGTAGATTCAATTATTAATGATGATTACAGTCTGCTGATGGCTCATGCTCCTGGTTTTCTCAATATGGTAGACAGTGCAAAGGTATTTTGTTCCTACTATTAAACCATATAACAGATGAAGTTGATCCTAGTATGACATAAATCAATACAAAATGCTTTTTAGTAGACGATCAACTTAAGACTTACTTCAATTGGTAGTGAAACACCACCTTCATAATTTTTAAGATATATGGAGAGATTTAGGTTTACAGATTATTGTAACCTTTTTTTGCAACGTTGCACATGTTGCACATAAATTATATGGAATATGTGACTGCATTAGATCTACATGATGGAAGTAAGCAATTTATCCTGATTCATGCACTGTAGCACTGTAGCACTGTAGCACTGTAGCACTGTTGCATTGTTGCACTGTTGCACTGTTGCACTGTAGCACTGTATCACTGTTGCACTGTAGCACTGTAGCACTGTTGCACTGTAGCATTGTTGCACTGTTGCACTGTAGCACTGTTGCACTGTAGCACTGTAGCACTGTTGCACTGTAGCACTGTAGCATTGTTGCACAGTGTTGCACTGTAGCACTGTAGCACTGTTGCACTGTAGCACTGTAGCACTGTAGCACTGTAGCACTGTTGCATTGTAGCACTGTAGCACTGTAGCACTGTAGCATTGTTGCACTGTAGCACTGTAGCACTGTTGCACTGTAGCACTGTTGCACTGTTGCACTGTTGCACTGTATATAGCACTGTAGCACTGTAGCACTGTAGCACTATAGCACTGTAGCACTGTTGCACTGTAGCACTGTTGCACTGTTGCACTGTAGCACTGTAGCACTGTAGCAGTGTAGCACTGTAGCACTGTAGCAGTGTAGCACTGTAGCACTGTTGCACTGTTGCACTGTAGCACTGTAGCACTGTTGTACTGTTGCACTGTTGCACTGTAGCACTGTAGCACTGTAGCACTGTTGCACTGTAGCACTGTTACACTGTTGCACTGTAGCACTGTTGCACTGTTGCACTGTAGCACTGTAGCACTGTAGCACTGTTGCACTGTAGCACTGTAGACTCCGTTGAAGTTAGCAGCACATTTTGCAGCAGCACATTCCTCACTTCAAATTGATTAAATTTTTGTGGTCGAAGCCTTATAACAAGGGTGGGGCTCGGGTGGAGCTGGTTGCTGCGCTCGAGCGATCATAATTACTGTTTATACCGATAGATTATAAGATGTTCTTTTATAGGACAAAAAGAGCAAGTCAAGAGAACACTTAAGGTTGCTAGATTAATATCTGTTGTTCTTTTTATAGGACAAAAAGTGTAGGTCAAGAGAATAATATTTTGTGACTTCTTTTGATAGCTACGTTAAAGAATTAATACAAAAGGACTATCAGGCACCATAGTATCTATGCAGGCACTTGACTATAAGTGCAAGATGAAGATTGTTTACATCACATATCTGATATCATGAATTGTGACATTTTAAGCATCATTATTTTATTATTATTACTATATAATGTTTTACAACACACAGGACAAGTGGAAGGGAGAGTAAGATATGAGACTTAGAGAGGGTTGAGTTTGTTCCACAGTCGGACAATTCTATTGAAATAAATGTAAAAACGAGTATGATGTTTAAGTATAGTTGTGAATCAGTTTATGGACAGTGGACAATGTAGTAGAATTAGTGGAAAAAGGAGACAAATCAAGCAGGACAGGAAAGTTATTTGAAGGGATCTTAATGGCTTTGACAATGAAGTTCATGCCAGTACATGAGAGAAAGAAGTGAGACGTTGATTAAGCGTTCTCTGAAACTAGTAGAATAGTCCAATAGGATCTGTTTTGTCAGATTCTTTACAGCATCAGGATGTCTTTAAGGATTAAAACCGCTTTCGTCCTTATTTATGGGCGTGTGGACTCCACCCACCCTCATCGTATCCGAAATGTCATTTCCTACATTAAGATACATACATTAGTCGATATTTTGTGTCTCTACCTGTTGCACTTCTCCATAAATAAGAGGATTTGTCATTTTAAAACCACTTTCGTCCTTATTTATGGGCGTGTGGACTCCACCCACCTTCATCATATCCGAAATGTCGTTCACTACATTAAGATACATACATTAGTCGATATTAAATGTCTGTACCTGTTGCACTTCTCCATAAATAAGAGGATTTGTTCCTTTAAAACCGCTTTCGTCCTTATTTATGGGCGTGTGGACTCCACCCACCTTCATCGTATCCGAAATGTCGTTCACTACATTAAGATACATACATTAGTCGATATTTCGTGTCTGTACCTGTTGCACTTCTCCATAAATAAGAGGATTTGTTCCTTTAAAACCGCTTTCGTCCTTATTTATGGGCGTGTGGGCTTCACCCACCCTCATTGTATCCGAAATGTCGTTCACTACATTAAGATACATACATTAGTTGATAATTTGTGTCTCTACCTGTTGCACTTCTCCATAAATAAGAGGATTTGTTCCTTTAAAACCGCTTTCGTCCTTATTAAACATTAAAGGAATCAAGAGAGGGGTCTTAAAACGTGAACTGAAACATACTAAGCCATCAACACATTATCATCGTAATTTTAGTGGGTTAAGTTTGAATGAGCTACAATCTGGTAAAAGAGACAAAGTCGGCAGTTTGCCATATGTATTTCAAAAAATATCATCAGAAGCTAATAAAGAGGAGCAGCCACATTTTGACTTGATTACTTCATTGATGATGCTTGATAAAGAACTCAGCAATGACAAACGATGCAATAATGGCTTCATTCGCAGGGTAACAGCAAAACCTTTTAATGTATCTTTTTTCTCTGAGGATGGGCTACGCATATACCACACTATTGCACCAGAGCAGACGCTTTATTTAGATGCTACAGGCACCATAATAAGTTTAAGTGGAACTGATTATGAGGGTTGCACATGCCTCTATTATTCACTAGTCATGAGTCATCAATTAAACTCTAGTCCACCAGTTGCTGTGGCAGAATTAATTACCACAGAGCACACAGTCATGGCCATATCCCACTTTTTGACTGACTTCAGAAGATATGAGGGAAAATTATATGGTTATTCTGGGGTAATACAGCCAAAGTGCCTAGTCATTGATCGCAGCCTTGTTCTGCTACTCAGTATACTGAAAGTCTTTAACATGGAGACACTCAGTGACTACCTGCACAGGTGTTTTCGTATTGCCACTAAATCTCAATCAGAGGAAGATGACAAGAAAACAACTGTGGTTGCCTGCATTAGCCATGTCATGCATTCTGCTAAATCTGAAATGCAAAAGTTATTGTAAGTTGACTTAAAGTTATTGTAAGTTGACTTATTTGTTTGCATAAAATGTAATTTATTCTGTAATTTCTCTTACCTATATTTATGTAGTAGTAAAAAGGATTGCTACCAATTTGCCATGTATTGCTTTTCATTGCTGGTGAATTGTTGTTCTTTGAAGGAATTTGAATTTGCCATTCAACATTGCACAGTTGTATTTACTTCTAAAACTCAGAATGATTCTTTTAATAAGTCTATCATTTTTCTGCAAGAAGCTTTGAATAGACTTGGCATAAAGGAAGCTAATACAGACCTGCAGCCAACTGGAGACAACAATTCAGATGAATGTAGCATTGCGGGATTGGAAGATGATACAGTTATTGATTATTCAGAAGAAGAACAAATTCTGTCACAATGTAAGAAACCATTTCTAGCATATTTTAAGAAAAAACTAATGAACATTCCCGATAATACTTTTGAAAGTGGCATTCCCAATAAGCTTTATCAGCCAAAATGGCTAGAAATGATGGAATCAAAGTGGCTACACA